TCCTTCCACAATTTTTATGTTACTTAAACCATTCATATATCAAAATGTTCAGCTCCTTCAGGACATTCCAGCTATTATTTTTGGTATCTTAAAATTTTATAGTTTTTTAGCTATTTCAATTTTTACAATTTTGGTTATGATGATGTCATCAGTGACATCATCGATTTGTTTCTTAGCTTCAGCTAAAGTTATAAGCAAGAGGCATTCACACTAGCATTTTCACTGGAAATGCAACTTCTCTAGTTGTTGTTATTATTATTATTATTATTATTAGTAGTAGTAGTAGTAGTAGTAGTAGTAGTAGTAGTAGTAGTAGGTGTATGTTTATAGAAACGGTTCATCTTTCATCATAGGCTATTTATGAGAAAACTGAATTCCGTAGGTGTGCGTCAGAAAACAGATTTTTTTTCCTGTGTTCCTGAACGCATCATAACTCCAACTCTGCAGCCACGCCACGAGGAACCAGTTTTTCAGTGTTGAGTTTCAAAAGGAGAAATAAAGTTTTTGGACAAACACAACTCCAGTCGTGTGTGTCTTATAGCTGCAGTATGTATAATGTGAAGAATGATGTCATTCATTCCTATATTATGAAAGTAATTCAAGCTTATCCATGGAAACAATGGAAATGACTGCAATACATTTTTTATTTAATGTGGGCTTCGTACAATAAACTTTACACATCACATAAAACCAACAACAAAGCTAATAAAACTATAAACACTAAAACCAGACTCATTCAACTCTTGCAGCAATCACAATAATAGTGCTTATCACAATTTCAAATCTAGTTTGTATATCGGGAATTTCTTTAAAAACATTTGTTTTTAAGTTTTAATTGACTTTGTGAGGTGAGCACATTAGATTCAAATGTCTTTTTTAAAACTCGTAGAAGTTGTTGGTACAAACTAAAGGTCACGTTGACCTCTCAGGACTTTTCTGAAAAGCGAACGTCATTTTTAAAAACACTTGTGATTGTGCACCTTTTACAGTTTGCAATATGTTTTCCACTCCCTTTCAAAAATGTACAAAATGACAAGTTAAGTTTTTATTTTAAGGAAGAGAAATGCACATTGTTGGTTTTCTTTTTGACCTGAACTTTGTGTCCCTGCAGGCGTTTGGCTTCATGTCCCGTGTGGCTCTGCAGGCAGAGAAGATGAACCATCACCCCGAGTGGTTTAATGTTTATAATAAGGTAACAACTTTCTCTTAGTGCAAATAAAATCCTGCAACTGTATCAGGAAAGATCCTTTTACTGAGCTGCATTTGTTTAGTATCAGTGACAGAAATCACAATTTGTAGAACTAAAAGCATCTTTTTCCAGTTGGAGTTGCTGCCATGTTTGGCTTGTTACAAATTACCACCTGAGGTAAATCAGACTGGATAAAGTTGGGTTTTTGGTTCAAATTAAACAATCATCATTGGTTTTTAAAAGCTCCCTACTCRAAGTCTGAAACACACTCAGTAAGGCTGAGGGAAAATTATGTGTTTTTTAGGTGAAAACTTGCAAAGAAAACTGTTTCCTAAGCCCAGCTCTCCGACGCTCTGAAGGAGAGAAGTGGTTAATTTGACGAAGGTAGTCGGTGAAAATCTCTCAGCTTTAGACTGCAGCCTCTGACTTACTGTGTGGTGGAGCAGGAATGCTGCTCCTAATCCACTCTTTATTAAAGTGGCTGCAGAACCGTGCTGCAGAACCGTGCTGCAGAACCGTGCTGCAGAACCGTGCTGCAGAACCGTGCTGCAGGTTAACCATTTGTCTCGGCTAAAACTGCTCTGTGGGCTGTAAAAACACCGATTTAGTCAAATATAATGAGCTAACAATAAAAGTGAGGCAGCGGTAATACACTGCAGTGAAAACAATGTGCTTGTCGATATGTAAATATGCTTTCATTATGTCAAACATCTACACAAAACAAAACAAAAAATGATAATAAAATTAACATATTTGAAAAGGAATGGGAAGAAGTCAAAATCATTTTTAATCCCACCCTTCTCCGAAGCTTATTAACAAAAAAATAACAGTAAATTCTTCCATCCATCCATCCATTTTCTGTACACGCTTCTTCCTTTTCAGGGTTGCGTGGGTCACTGGTGCCCATATCCAGCAGTCACAGTGCGAGGGGCGGGGT